AGACGCCCTCCGTCATCTCGAAGGCCCTGCAGGACCTCCGGACAGCCCTTGTAATTCATGCTCCCGTTGGGCAAAGTCCACAGGGTGCACGGCAGCTGGATGATCACGAGGCGCGGCGGCCACTTGTCAGTCGCGTCGAGCTCTGCCTTAGTTCGCCCTGATTCTTCAGATCCCGCAGCGCCCGCGCATGCCAACCACTGACACAACCGGCGGCATTCAAAGGCATGCCGCACTCTCCCCCGACCTCCAGCAGGTCGGCGCCGCGTCGGCACCGCCATTGGAACTTGCTGCCCTTGAGCTTCTCGTCGTACACGGCCGTCTCCAGGCGTGAGTTCTGGCGCGCCGGCTCTGCCATGCCGCAGCGCCGCCTCGCCTGGCCAGAGATCGTGGCACCTCTGGGCCCCGCTTCGCCCAGGGCTCCGCCCACTGGTGGACGCCCCCAGCGCGAGCCCCGCTCCTCGATCTCAATGCGCTCCGATATTGGCGAACGTGCCCTCCACAGACTAGCCGGGCGCGATTGACGCGAGGGCCGCTCTGGCGATTAAGGCGCCCCGTAAGAGCTGCATGCCGAAGCATCAACCCGGTCGACCCTGGCGCCTCGATTTCTGCGGCGGCCGCGTAGGTTCCAGAAGATCGCCTCCGCCGCCCGGGCCTTGCCGAGCTCCCTTCCAGACCGCGCCGCAATTGAGGCACTCCTGGAACTTGATCGCTGGCCCCGCGCGCTGGTGCCCCCTGTTGGCCGGGCGAGGGCACTGGCGCGCAGTCGGAAGGAAACGCGCCCTCCTCGCCGTCGACCCGTGCGGAGTCTGGATTGTAGCTCTTCGTCTGCTGGTCCTTGTTGGCAGGTGGCTTCGTCGCAGGGGAACGATTGGCCACCGTGGCGTCGATGGCCCGTCTACGCTGGCCGCGCTTGATCATGGCCATGATCGCCATCGCGGCACGGACGAAGACTGCCCGTTGCAACTGGATGTCCTCTGGCGCCGCATGGCCATGGACAGGGCGCCGATCTCGACGCTGACGTCGAAGGCTGCCTTGGAACACAAACGGCCTCAGGACTCGCTCGACAGTTCGACTCGCCATGTACTGAGCGTTTCAATGAAGTTCGATCTCGCTGCTCCTATCATCGCCCTGATCGTCAACGTGCAGAATTGCTAGACGCCCCCTTTCCCCATTCTTGCATGCCGAGATGCTCGTAGCACTTACAGGTGCTAAAGTTTCCGTCGTTGCTCGTGTCCCGCTTAGACATATAGGCTCGCTGGCGCTCGCTCTGTTAATGGAGGTGACCGCATGGCAATTGATGGCAACAGTATACTGCGCGATGATGGCCGCGCAGCGCTGCGCGATTCATTGGATGATGCTTGTCATGATGACTGGCCGATGGCAGCGGGGGTCGGCTCGCTTATTTCTCCGTGCCCAGATGACGCGCTGCATCTGCATGAATGCCTGGCGTGGGGACCCTTTCGACGGGAAAACCCGTCGGCGACCACCCGTCGATCCGAACTGCGAACTGCCCGCCCGTAGACATCACCAACTGCGCATCCGGGCGATCTGCGGCCGAAGCGCAATCCCGTGATTTGGCCGAGTCAACGAAGCAGCCGAGGTCGGTCGTCACGTCTCACGAGGTCGGTCGGAGAAAAGGCAGGCGAGGTCGGTCGGAGCAAAAGCGGACGAGCGGTATTTTCGTCGTCGATCGCCGAGGTTTGCGTCGCGAGTGCCTGTTGACCAACGCCGACTGGTAAAGACCACCGCTCAAAGCAAGCCGCGGGAGTCTCAGGATCTAGACGACGCTGCTCACGTTCAGGACGCGCGCGTACTTCGAGGTCCCGGGGCTCGAGAAGACGCTCGCGAGACGTCCGCAGGCCTCGCGGGCCCGCCGCGGTAGTCTGCCACGCGGCATGCAGCGCGGACAAACTCGCGCGGGGGTTAATCTTCCCCGCGGTGAAAGCATTACTGATCGTAGCCAGCACATGGACTGTCCGTTCCTGGTGGAATTGATTCGATCGTCGGCCACCATTCCATTACCGTAAGTCACCAGCATGCGCGGCGCACGCGTGGGCTCATGATGTTGAACGTCGGCCTTCCGCCGAGCAAGCTCTCGCACAGCGCCTTCAAGTCGATGTTGCTCTGCGCGAGGAATCCGAGTTCCCAGCGATAGATGTATATCTGAAATCACAGCCGTAACGTGATGTGCATATTCAGACTCTGCCCCATCCGGCAATCGGTTTGCCGTGCAGCCCTGTCGCGTAGATGCGGTTGAGCCTGCGCCCGCGCCTGGCCTATGGTCGCCATCGCGCGCCCCTCGCAGCGCCAGACTGAGAAGTGCGTCCAGTTGGCCACCGGCCGCCAGAAGATGACTGTGCCGCACTGGTTTGCCGCCCTGATTGGCGGCGGAATCTTGTTCCCAGCAGCTCTGCGCTGAGGCTTTCCAGCCCGCTGGCCGATGTCGCCGCAGGCCCGGCAGTTCGCCGCCGTCTTCAGCTACGACAGGGACATGCCGCGTCGTGCATGGCCCCTGCGTCCGTCACCGCCTCAGCCTTTATTGGAGGACCTCGACATGAAGCCCCTGCCCGTCTTCAATTTGCCAGACCCTGCGCCAGGCTTGCCACCCTTCGTATCGTAAGAACCACGGGCCCTGTTCGCTTGGTTCAGCCTGTCGTGGGAATGCTTGAACGCCGCGCATGCGGCGTGAATCTCTCGCGCCAGAACTTCCGCGAGCTGCTCGGACCAAAAGCAATCGTCGGTCTCCTCGGCCCAGTTGTCATTCGAGTCATGCTCTGGCTCTCGCTGGTCGTTGCCAAGCCATGCCTCTTCGTAATCAATGGCGTCCTTATGCCATTCCTCGCCGACGATGCCCTCGTGCGAAGCCGTGCGTGCTTGATATGGACGTCTGAACTTCCAATCGCCTTCACACTTGTCGTCGGGCACCAGCGGAAGAGGAAACAACGTAGCGGCCTGTCCCTTGAGAGGTTTACATTTGAATGCAGAGCTGGCCGCAATGAACAAACAGCCTGGGTCATGGCATCGGACTGAGAACTCTTCATGAAGTGCCGGATAATGTCCGGGTCAGGAATGTCGAACTCCATGAACTTGGCCTGCAATGCTGTTTTGTTCACTCTGGTCGTTAATTGCAGCAACGTCTCGCCAGGATTGGTATGACCCACATGGAAGAAATCGCCCATCGCCGCTCCGATGTTCACCGTAGGGTGTTTATCAAAGAATGCCAACTTCTCTGGCAAGAGCTCCACACCGTTGGGCGCCGCGAAAAAGGTCGGGCTCTCATCTTCGACATGGTCGAAAGCCTTATCCTCCAGCGCCGCATACAGACGTGGCGCCATCTCATCTGGCCCACTTATGTTCGTAGCAATCAGAAACCAATTCTCGACCTTAGCCTTGCATCGCTTGAATATTTTCGGGTCGCCCATCTCGCAATTCATCTCCGGAGGCAGGGGCACGTTATATGTTGGTCAAGTGAGGGGGTTCTAGTTCCCTTTGTCTTTAGCCTGGTCTGTACCAGTCCTCGGTGGGATGTCCGTCGAACTCTTCGTCATCCAACCGAGGCGGTGTTCCTGGTGCGGAGTCTCGTCTTGAGCCTCGTCCAGGAGGGTACCTCGTCCTGGACCTCGTCCTGGACTTTGTCCTGCACCTCGTCCAGTAGGGGCTCCTGGTGTTGAGCCTCGCCCAGACATTGACACGTTCGGAAGAAAGTCGCTGAACGCTACCAATTCGACAAGAAGAAAGCAAGGAACGTGTTTGTGAATGCTGTAGCGGAGCTGGGACCGATCCGCAGGTTCGACGATGTCTTTCTATCTCGCTGGGTGCACACGGCAGAGTCTCGCGCCAGCAACCTCAAGGCCCTGAACGGACCGAAATGGCGTCGCGGCGAGAGGGTGAGAGCAACACAGACAGGAGCGAGTGAATGGGAGAGGAGGCGATGATATACAGAGCGAGATTGCACGTCTCCTCGGCTTACATCATTGTCTTTCTATTGGCTCGTCCTCCGCGTCATCCCCTTCACCCTCCTCCTCCTCCCCATTATCGTCATTATTCCTTCCTCTTCCCCGTTGTCCTGCTTCCGTTCCTGATCCCCTCCGCATCCACTACAGTGAACCATCGCCCTTCCTCCGACTCCTCCTCATCCTCCTCCTCGTCCTCCTCCCCCATCCTCGCTCCTCATGCGCTACGTCATCAGATTCATCCTCCTTGTCCTCTTCCTCGTCCTCTTCTTTCTTCCCACCGTGTTCCTCCTCCTGGTCTTCTTCTTCCCCTCCCTCCTGCACGACCCAACCCTCACCCCTCTCCTCCTCCTCCTCCTTCTCAAGAGGACGAGGGAATGGGCCCCCAGGTCCCCGCGGAGATCTCTGGCGGCCTTCAGAGGCCTCATGGAAGTAAAAGGCAAAGACGCCCAAACATGTGGATCATCCCATTCCTCCCCCATCCTGACCGTTCCTTGGACACCTAACGCTATGATTTTTGTTTGTCTTCACGTCGACCCCCAGAGGTCTCGACCCATTCACTGGGACCAGTTCTTCATCTTGGGCGGTTTGGACGGTCCCGAGGTCCAATGGGGCCTCCCCGAGGCCGAAAATCAAGAAACACCTCCCGTCGCATTTGTTTCATGACTCGAGGGGACCTAGGTCTCCTGCTTCCCCTCATCCCTCATCTTCCCCATCCCCCTGCCCCCCTGGGCTACACGCAAGAGTGACCCGTAGGCAAAAGCGACCTTGGGTGCCCGGCTTTAGGGGGCCGCGAGGGGCCAGGGGATGCCTCTAGGCCCGCACCGAAGGGCACTCCGGCGATGGGTCACTCCTTGAGCATCGCTTAGCCGATCCCTATCCCTATTGGCGTGGCCTTGGCCCCACTGGCCGGTTAGGCTGTTCCGTACGGGTTTCGAAGGGTATATCCCCAACCGCGGTGCTGAGATGGCGGGGATCTGGATAGGGATGGGGACGAAACTGACTCCTACGCGCAGCAAGGACCTTTTCCGCAGCGCCCCGGCGCACCTGAGCCGTCGTTGTTGTACTTGGTCCTGCTCCGCCGCCGGCGACGCAGGGGCACGCGAGCGCGCCCAGGAGAGAGAAAGAGAGAGAGAGAGAGAGACAGAGCGAGAACTGCTCCTCACAAATAAATCCTCACAGATAAGGAGAGAGAGAGAGAGAACAAAAAAAAAAACAGAGCGAGAACTGCTCCCTCCATGCCCTCACAAATAAATCCTTCCTGCCGCAACCCGGGCCGGTCGGTAGGGCGGGCCTGGGCGCTTCTTCGGAGGAGTTCCTCATCGTGTGTTTTCGAAATAGACAAGTCTGCAAGAGCTTCACGGATGGAGGACGGGCCGTTTTCAAAATGTGGCTCTCGCCTCAGCGCCGCGCACATTTGCTCTACGCCTTTGCAAGAGCTTCACGGGTTGAGGAAAGTTGGCATTCAAAATGAAACTCTCACCTCAGCGCCGCGCGCAATCGCCCTAACCTTTGCAGTAGCTAAACAGATTGAAGGCGGGCGGTTTTCAAAATGTAGTTTTCGCCTGAGCGCCGCGCACAACTGTCCTTAACATTCGCAAGCGTTTCACGGATTGAGGGCGAGTCGTTTTCAAAAGGTTGCTGTCGCCTGTTTGTGGAAAGATGTCGGAATGCCAGGGCGTAACAGTTACGTTGATTTGCGGTGTGGAAGACCCAGAAATTGCGTTCTGGTGAGATTCAGGATCGTCTAGACCTAGACGCAACAGGAAGGTTGATTTGTAGCGTTGAAGTCCCATGAACGGTGCTTGGGCGCGGTCCAAGGTTTTCAAACGGCTATCTCCCAACGGGGCACTATCCTCAATAGAAATGAACCCTTGTATGGGCCTGTGAAGAGCGACCTTGGAGGGAGGGTTGAGTCTTCTTGGTTTACACAGGTCCTCATCCTCCTCTCCATCCTCGACCTTGGACCATCAAAACGTCAAGGACCGAGGTTTGGGGATGCCGATGACCTAGTTCGGGGCCCTTGGAAAGCCCTGGAGGCTTCCAGGGATCTTTTCCTCCCACGCAACCGCTTGTTTGTTCGTTCCTCCTCGTCCTTGTCCTCCTCCTTTCCTCGTCCTCCCTCCTGTCCTCCTTCGCCTCATCCTCCTCTTCCTCCTCCTCCTCCTCCTCCGCCTCATCCTCCTCCTCCGGCTCCCAAGTCTCAGAGTTAGCCCTCCTGCGGCTCCTCCCGCCCGCCTGCTACTTCGCGTTGCTTCTCGAGATCTGCCTCCTCCTTTTCCCGATCCTCCCTTCTTCTCCGCCCCCGCCCCGAGGAATCTGGAGGTCCTCGGAGATTTCCCCTGGCACCTGGAGGCCCCCAGAGGCCTCCTGATGCCTCGCCCAGACCTCGCGACCATCCTCCGCCTCACTCGTGCTCCGTGTCCGCATTCCATGCCTCTGTCTCCTCCCACCTTCTCCTTCGGCTTATCCTCCTCCTCCGCACAATCTCCACCTTGTCTTCCTCCCCATGCTACAGTGTCCCTCCTCCTCGTCCTCCTCGTCCTCCTCCCTCTCTTCTTGGCCCCAACTCAGGGATCGAGGGCGCATGACTTGGGATGTTGTCACCCCGTGTCAAGCCTCTGAAAGCCTCCAAAGACCTCCAGAACCCCCCCTCTACGCCCTCCCCATCTCCCTCCATGATCATGTCACCCTCCCTTTACCTTGCTCCTCATGTCTTCACTGCAAGCTCCTCCCTCCTTTCCGCACACTCCTGCCTCATTTCTTGACCTGAGCCCGAAGATTGGACACATTGATTCCGCGCTTGCGTCGTGTCCGCGTGTTTTTTTGTGGAGCCACCATAGGGGTTCCGGCTATTCTGTGTTTTCGGCGCTCCCATGCGTGGATGCGTGAATGCTTGCTTGTTTCAGGGATTGCGTGTCTGCATGCTTGCATGCTGGTGTCGCGCGCGGCATCGCACCGCGCGTGCTGCCGACGCCGTTGACGCGGCCGCCAGACTATGGCGCGTGCACGCAATGCCATCTAACGTGTGCGCGTGCGTGGGAGTCAGGGTCGCCATGGCCCCCTGGTCACACCGTGGGGCGCGCCGCGTTATCACGTAATTTTGGCCACGGCTCGATTACTGTCCAGGGGCCCTCCGGGACATGGCCAGAAATGTGACCAGACCGTAGCAGCGCAGTCAGTTACGCCGATCGACTTGCCATTCGGGCGGCTGCTTAGACGGCCCCCATAAACTGATCCAGTCCAGCAGGAAATGCTCCATGCCGTGAGGTAATCACGTTCTTCGAGGCCAAAGCCTAAGCTCAAGCGTAACGTAAAACGTGCCGAAGTCGAATAGATACCGGCCGCAGACGCGGTGCGCGCTTCTAAGAGGTTTGAAATTAAGTTCGGCGCGGATGTGCTCTTCACGCTACGGGCGTGGTGACCCTCTGCAACCCCTTTACGGCATTATCCAAACGCCCGAAACGGCCGCGGAAACTCATCCGGCGTGAGTGCACAACGTAGGGAGACTTGGGAACCGATCCAGTTGCTCACTTTAGTGTTACATACAAGGCCGGAGACTCAGAGTGTGGTTCGGGTCCGCAGGGGCCACGGCCCAGACGCCCTCCAGGTGGCGCAGACACTGAACCAACGACTTGGCCCACGTCGCCTCGGCATGCGTGCACTGTGCGATGTGCTTTGCTGGAGGCCGTGATGGACTTGAAAATGTGCTTGGCCATGGTCCACCATGGCCCACCAGGATGCGGTGTGTTTGCTGGAGGCCGTGTGCAGCTCCACGACTGGATCCTTCCGCCCCTCTTCCCGCATCCCTCCCGCCGTGTACTTCGGCTTCCCTCCTGCGGGCTCACGCGTTCAGGTGGTCGCGCTCCCGTCCTTCGTCGCTGCCCCCCCCCTCTCTCCTCCTCCCTCGTCTCCTCCTTCCCCTCCTGCGCGTGCTACGATCAGCCCGCGTGTGTAAGGACGAGCAGCTCCCTAGGGCTGCCCCTGGCATCCCCCCTGCTTGGCCCCTCCCCGGCCGCCTCCGCTGGCCGCGCCCCCCCCCCCGCCCCCCCGCGAAGCGCCGACGCGGCCCCCTCAGGCCCCATGCATCCGTATGGCGCGTCCTTCGTATGCGGGCGGACTGTATGCCGAGCCAATCTCATCACGACTTCACTCTCGCCCAGTGCCAGGAGGGAAAACACACAGACACAATGAATCACCGATCCCCCACAATATATATATATATATATATATGTACAAGACTGTATTGGCGCTGCGCGCCATGCACCTTGGTCCTTTGACTTCTGCACGCAAGTGGAATGCGTGCGTGCGTACATGCGCGCATGCATGTATACACGCGCGCGTGCATACACGTTCCATATAAATGTCTAGGTGTATACAATATACTTACATTGTTGTATGTGTATACAGCGTACATATGTACATATACATTTATGTGTAAGGGTATGAACATGCATATGCAAGTCGTACGGGGCATCTTCGGGCATCTTCGCTGCATGCCACGAGACCCTCAACGACTGGGTCACAATGTGAAATGTCATGGGAGCAAAATCAATGAATGTTGGCATTCGGAAACATCGTGGGGGTGTTTTCGGGGACCTCGTGGGCCGTTTTGGCGCCTTCATGGGCCGCCCTGGGGCCCTCTTGGGCCGTCTCGGGGAGCTTGGGCCCGCTGCAGCCCCCTTTGGATCCATCTTGGGCACTTCCGGGGACCTCCAATGGCCCTTTTGGGTCTGTGCTGGGAGCCCTTGGGGGGCCTCTTGGTTCCATTATGGGCTGTCTTGGGGCTCTCATGGGCGATCGTGGGGCCCGGCTCGGCCGTCTTGAAGCTTTCTAGGGAGCCTTTTGGAACGTCTTGAGGCGATCTCGGGGGCTTTGAAACCGTCTTGAAAGCTGATGAAATCCGAAAGGCGAAGATGCTGAATTGGTAAGTTTTACGAAGGGAATGGGACGATTTTTGTAGTGTGAAGGCCCCTTGGGAAGCTTTTTGGGGTGCCTTGGGGGTCTTTATGTTGGCATTCGGAGACATCTTTTTTCCCAACGCTCCTTGGTTGGATATTCGTTTTGAATAGAGCAGTGTGGTCGCGTCCCTCCTCCCTCCTCCTCCCTCCCTCCCTGCCTCTTCCTGTCTTGCCTGCGGGGGGCTGCGATCTGTGAAACTGTCGCCATTTTCGAGGCCTGCTGGGGGGCCCAGCACAGTGAGGGCCACGGGCAGATTCAAATTAGACCTCGCCATCCCTGGGGGGGCTGCGCTCTGTGAAACTGTCGCCATTTTCGAGGCCTGCTGGGGGGCCCAGCACAGTGAGGGCCACGGGCAGATTCAAATTAGACCTCGCCATCCCTGGGCTGCGATCTGTGAAACTGTCGCCATTTTCGAGGTCTGCTGGGGGGCCCAGCACTGAGGGCCACGGGCAGATTCAAATTAGACCTCGCCATCCCTGGGGGGCTGCGATCTGTGAAACTGTCGCCATTTTCGAGGCCTGCTGGGGGGCCCAGCACAGCGAGGGCCACGGGCAGATTCAAATTAGACCTCGCCATCCCTGGGGGGCTGCGATCTGTGAAACTGTCGCCATTTTCGAGGCCTGCTGGGGGGCCCAGCACAGTGAGGGCCACGGCAGATTCAAATTAGACCTCGCCATCCCTGGGGGGCTGCGATCTGTGAAACTGTCGCCATTTTCGAGGCCTGCTGGGGGGCCCAGCACAGTGAGGGCCACGGCGGATTCAAATTAGACCTCGCCATCCCTGGGGGGCTGCGATCTGTGAAACTGTCGCCATTTTCGAGGCCTGCTGGGGGGCCCAGCACAGTGAGGGCCACGCGCGGATTCAAATTAGACCTCGCCATCCCTGGGGGGCTGCGATCTGTGAAACTGTCGCCATTTTCGAGGCCTGCTGGGGGGCCCAGCACAGTGAGGGCCACGGGCAGATTCAAATTAGACCTCGCCATCCCTGGGGGGCTGCGATCTGTGAAACTGTCGCCATTTTCGAGGCCTGCTGGGGGGCCCAGCACAGTGAGGGCCACGCGCGGATTCAAATTAGACCTCGCCATCCCTGGGGGGCTGCGATCTGTGAAACT